ATCTTTTTTCCCAACTGATGTTGAGGCTGGAGCGTCCACAATAAATACTAGAATTTTATAACAATGGGGTAGACCCTTTAATATACATATGGTAACCTAGATACTCTACGGGTCTTGTTTTCAACACTGTCTTACTTTAACAGTATGAAGTTGAAAAATATTTAAAACTTTTAGCAGTTCAGCATCATGTTCTGCTTTATTCTTTATATCATTAATAAACTAGCATCTCCCTCAATCTTTACTGAAAGTTGTGACAAATATCTCTGGAGGCGTAGAAAGTCCAAAAGGAAGTCTTTTAAACTTAAATAACTTTTGAGTATTAATCACTAAAAAAATCTGGTTCTCCTCCTCTACAGCAGTTTTCACATAAGAACTGTTTAGGTCAATTATTGAACGTATTGCACCCTTACAAACCACTGGAAATAAATAATTAATTATATGGGCAAAGGATATGTCTCACAATGAATGCAATTATTCAGTTCTTTAAAATCAGAATATATTTTCATTGACCTTAAATCTATCTTTAACTATGGTACAATTGGGGCTGCCTACTCACTATGTGCACCCGATTCTAAAAGCTGATTCTACCAATGTCTTTTAAATGAAAAGTAGCTGTTCTTGCTCTGAAATATTAGGTGCAGTGTCAGTTTCGAGACGAATTTTCAGGCTATAATACTAAAATAACTGTACACCAATGGACGTTATTTCAAAGTGATCTTCGACCTAGACAAAACATCTTTAAGCAGACATATTTTTTTCTTCAATTATTTTCTTAATCACTTATTCTAAACACAGCCTCAATCTTATTTCTCACAACCAGACTCATTTAGTGACTCATTTAGAAGTATCAACTATCACAATGTCTCGGTCCCCACTCTGTCTTTCTATTTGTGTCTCTATCTCAGTCAGTCGTCTGGCTCACACCGTAGTATAAGATGACTACAGTTTTCGCTTTATACAACTTCATACTACAGCTATGCACTGACTCAACAATACTCTGGTGCCCAACTATTTGGGTTAGACGGTAGAACGACGGTCTCACCCCGAGCAGGTCGACGTTCAATCCCTAACCGTCAAACGTGTTGGCCATCATTCCTTTCACCATATCTCATCCCAAATCCTTATCCTGATCACTTCGAAGTGCAATATAATTATTTGTAATGGCTTGGCTCTTTTTCCTGATAGTTCCCTTCCCCATTCTGATCGTGTCTCTGTCACTTATGAATACAATATGTCTACTTTTCTCTTTCATTTCCACTTTTTTTCCTCTCCATACTGTATTTAATTCCCCCTACTATTTCTCTTTCTAAAATACAAAATGCACCACTGCAGTGTTATACTGTGACCTTATGCCTTTCTCACTTGCATGTGTATTCATACCCGTTCCATATGCCTGTTTCACATGTTTCTGTCTTCATGCCTATCACGCCAGTCCCACATACCTGTGTCTCCATGCCTATCATGCCAGTCCCTCACACCTGTGTCTCCATGCCTATCATGCCAGTCCCTCATACCTGTGTCTCCATGCCTATTCAGATTCAGATTCAGATTCAGATGTTTATTCAGGTAAGGTATATACATACAAGTGATGTTACATTAATGGATTGATATATAGATAGAGCTAGTACATACAAAGCCTAAAGCCACTATTACGCAATGCGTTTCGGGCAAGAAAAACATTAATATCTAGAACTTAATACTAATTGAGCATAAAGAATAAAAAGTGTTGAGAACAAAAACAAATAAAGATAAAAAAAAAAAGGGGGAACATGACTGAAAAAGCAGCACAAATACAATAGGTTGACAAACAGTGTTGATTAAAAAAAAAAAAAAAAAAAAAAAAAAAAAAAAAAAAAAAAAAATAACGGACATGGGTTGACAATAGAGGAGTGAGGTAGGTTACAGGGAATTTATTAGGTAGTGTTTAGTTTTTATCTTAAACTGGTTGAGAGAGGTACTGTCTTTAATATGGTTGGGAAGGTCATTCCACATTCTGGGCCCCTTGATTTGTAGAGCATTTCTGGTTTGATTAAGTCGTACTCTAGGAATATCAAAACTGTATTTATTTCTGGTGTGGTGCTCATGGGTTCTGTTACAACCTTCTATGAAGCTTTTGAGATCAGGATTGGCATTACAATTTAGCGTTTTGTATATGTATAGTACACATGAGAGAATGTGCAGTGACTTAATGTCTAACATATTCAGGGATTTGAATAGGGGTACCGAGTGATGTCTGGGGCCAGAATTGGATATTGTCCTAATAGCAGCTTTGTGTTGAGTAATTAGAGGACGTAAATGATTTTGGGTAGTAGAGCCCCAAGCACAAATACCATAGTTGAGATATGGATAGATAAGGGAGTAATAGAGAGTCACCAGGGCAGGGCGTGGTACATAATATCTGATCTTAGAAAGAATGCCCACAGTTTTTGAAACTTTTTTAGATATGTTTAGAATGTGTCCCTGGAAATTCAGCTTGTGGTCAATGAGAATGCCAAGGAATTTGCCATCTAATTTGTTACAAATTTGGGTATTGTTTATTTTGAGATTTATTTGATTAGAGGATTTATTGCCAAACAGAATATAGAAAGTTTTGTCAATGTTAAGGGTGAGTTTGTTGGCAGTTAGCCACAGATGGACTTTATTTAGCTCAGTATTTACTGTGGCATTTAGAGCAAGGGGATCAGGACTGGAGTAAATGAAGGTTGTGTCGTCAGCAAATAGGATTGGTTTGAGGTGTTGGGAGGCATTTGGAAGGTCATTAATGTAGATGAGAAAGAGGAGAGGGCCAAGTATGCTGCCCTGGGGAACACCAATGTTGATGGGTAGGGTGGGAGAAATTATATTATTTACAGAAACACATTGGAGCCTGTCAGTAAGGTAGGATTTGAGGTATTGTAGGGAGTGTCCTCTGACACCATAATGATGTAATTTAAGAAGAAGGTTTTGGTGGTTGACAGTATCGAAAGCTTTACGCAGGTCCACAAATAACCCAACAGGGAACTCATTTTTATCAAGAGCTGTATGAATCGAGTTAAGCATACTAATAAGTGCATCGTTAGTGCTATCATGCCAGTCCCTCATACCTGTGTCTCCATGCCTATCATGCCAGTCCCACATACCTGTGTCTCCATGCTTATCATGCCAGTCCCTCATACCTGTGTCTTCATGCCTATCATGCCAGTCCCACATACCTGTGTCTCCATGCCTATCATGCCAGTCCCTCATACCTGTGTCTTCATGCCTATCATGCCAGTCCCACATACCTGTGTCTCCATGCCTATCATGCCAGTCCCACATACCTGTGTCTCCATGCCTATCATGCCAGTCCCTCATACCTGTGTCTTCATGCCTATCATGCCAGTCCCACATACCTGTGTCTCCATGCCTATCATGCCAGTCCCACATACCTGTGTCTTCATGCCTATCATGCCACTCTCACATGAATATCATGCCACTCCCACATGCCTCTGCCCTCATGCATGTCTTTCACACCTGTTACATATACTTGTGCACTTGTACCTGTTAAATATGACAGTGACTACAACCTTCTCCCACATGTTTGTGCTCTCATGTCTGTTTCACATATCTGTCCTACATACCTGACACAAAATGGTTTAGTCAGGCAAAACTTTTATTATGAAGTTATATATATATATATATTTTAGGAAAGGAGAGACGAGTAATTTTTGAGTAAATTTATACATTATTTGCCCAAAGTTATGCATTATTTGCAACAAGTTGTACATTATTTGCAGCAAGTTATACATTAGTTGCTAAAAGTTATACATTACTTGCTAAAAATTATATATTATTTGCAATAAGCATTCATTATTTACTTCAAATTATACATTATTAACTTCAAATTTTACATTATTTACTTCAAATTATACATTATTTGATGCAAGTTAAGCATTATTTGCTACAAACTAAATTATTTTGTTGAAAGTTATATATTAATTAAGTCACTATTTGCATCACATTATACATTACTTACTTCATGTTATACATTACTTGTTTCAAGTTATTCATTATTTACTTCAAGTTATATATTATTTGTTTTATGTTATATACTATTTGATTCAAGTTATACATTATTTGCATCAAGTTATACATTATTTGCTTCAAGTTATACATTATTTGCATCATGTTATACATTATTTGCTTTAAGTTAATGTATAACTTGAAGCAAATTATTTGCTTTAAGGTTATGTATAACTTGAAGCAAATAATGTATAACTTGAAGCAAATGATGTATAACGTGAAGCAAATAATGTATAACTTGATGCAAATAATGTATAATATGAAGAAAACAATAGGAAACTTGAAACTAATAATATATATCTTGAAGCAAATAATGAATGATTTGAAGCAAATAATGTATAACATGTTGAAAATAATGTATAAATTTAAACTAATAATTTAAAGCAAGTAATTTATAACGGGACGAAATAATGAATAATTAAAACAAACTATGTGTAACTTGCAGCAAATAATGTATAACAGGCAGCAAATAATATGTAAATTGAAGTAAATAATATATAAATTATAGCAAAAAATATAAGTAACAAATAATGCATAACTTGTTGCAAATAATGTATAACACGGATCAAATAATTTACAACTTAAAACAAAAATATATATTGATCTTACGATATACATTATTTGCCTTGCGGTATACATTATTTGCCTTGCGGTATACATTATTTGCCTTGCGGTATACATTATTTGCCTTGCGGTATACATTATTTGCCTTGCAGTATACATTATTTGCTTTAAGGGATACATTATTTACTTCAAATTACACTTTATTTGTTTCAAGTTATACATTATTTGTTTCATGTTGTTCATTCTTTACTTCAAGTTATATATTATTGTATTCAAGTTATTCATTATTTGCATCAAGTTGTACATTATTGCCTCATGTTATAATTTTGTATGCAAATTATACATTATTTGCATCAGATTATACATTAGTTGTTGCAAGATATTCATTTGTTGCTTCAAGGTAGTTCCCGGAGGATGGTTGGCGTCCCTGGTAGTGCCGGTAAGTGGGTGGTAGTTCCTGGAGGATGGTTGGTGTCCCGAGTAGTGCAGGTAGGTGGGTGGTTGTTCCCGGAGGATGGTTGGTGTCCCTGGTAGTGCAGGTAGGTGGGTGGTAGTTCCTGGAGGATGGTTGGTGTCCCTGGTAGTGCAGGTAAGTGGGTGGTAGTTCCTGGTGGATGGTTGGTGTCCCGAGTACTGCAGGTAGGTGGGTGGTAGTTCCTGGAGGATGGTTGGTGTCCCTGGTAGTGCCGGTTAATGGGTGGTAGTTCCTGGAGGATGGTTGGTGTCCCTGGTAGTGCAGGTAAGTGGGTGGTAGTTCCTGGAGGATGGTTGGTATCACTGGTAGTGCAGGAAGGTGGGTGGTAGTTCCTGGAGGAGGGTTGGTGTCCCTGGTAGTGCAGGTAAGTGGGTGGTAGTTTCTGGAGGATGGTTGGTGTCCCTGGTAGGGCAGGTAGGTGGGTGGTAGTTCCTACAGGATGGTTGGTGTCCCTGGTAGTGGAGGTAAGTGGGTGGTAGTTTCTGGAGGATGGTTGGTGTCCCTGGTAGGGCAGGTAGGTGGGTGGTAGTTCCTGGAGGATGGTTGGTGTCTCTGGTAGTGCAGGTAAGTGGGTGGTAGTTTCTGGAGGATGGTTGGTGTCCCTGGTAGTGCAGGTAAGTGGGTGGTAGTTTCTGGAGGAGGGTTGGTGTCCCTGGTAGTGTAGGTAAGTGGGTAGTAGTTTCTGGAGGATGGTTGGTGTCCCTGGTAGGGCAGGTAGGTGGGTGGTAGTTCCTGGAGGATGGTTGGTGTCCCTGGTAGGGCAGGTAGGTGGGTGGTAGTTCCTACAGAATGGTTGGTGTCCCTGGTAGTGGAGGTAAGTGGGTGGTAGTTTCTGGAGGATGGTTGGTGTCCCTGGTAGGGCAGGTAGGTGGGTGGTAGTTCCTGGAAGATGGTTGGTATCCCTGGTAGTGCAGGTAGGTGGGTGGTAGTTCCTGGAGGATGGTTGGTGTCCCTGGTAGTGCAGGTAGGGGGGTGGTAGTTCCTGGAGGACGGTTGGTGTCCCTGATAGTGCAGGTAGGTGGTTGGTAGTTCCAGGAGGGTGGTTGAAGTCCCTGATAGTACAGATAAGTAGAAGGTAGTACCGAAAGTGTGGTTTATGTCCCATGTATTCTCGTGTGTAGCATAGTTGTAATCTCGGCATTGTGAATACCGAGCCAAGGTAGCCAAGGTAGATTGTTGGTAGTTCATGTAGGTGCGTGGTGGTCTTAGAGCGGAGGTTCGGGGGCTCTGAACGATGGGTTGAAAGGGCATGCAGTGGGAGAGATACAGTGAGGGTAGGCGGGGTCCGGGTTAAAGACTTTGTCTCCTTCACAGGTATTAACGGTGGCTATCTGGTTGACGTACTCACACTCAAAGTAGTGCTGGTCACACGACGTACACTTGGGGAAGAAGCCCACTGACGTACACGTCATTGAATCCTTGCACTCAGGAGTGGCCGTTGTTGTGATTGGCTGGGAAGCATCACACAGTGTGTCACAAACGGCACCGGGTAGACAGGTATCCGCTACAACGTCAAAGTTGGATCCTGAAGCGCATGTTAAGTGATACGTCTCGTCAGCTGGTCCTGCGGTCACGCATTTGTAGAACTTGTGACAGTCGTAGGGGTCTCGGGTAAGCAATTGCCCATTCGTGCAAAAGGCAGCACATGGGTCCCTACAGCAGCCGGATGGTGTCGTATCGCAGACCCCTTTTTCGCTGTTATAATAAGGAGTGTTTGCGGGACATTTGAAGGGCCCCTGAGGGCTACCGCCAATGCAAATGTAATAGGTGCTGCAATCCTTTGGGTCATTAAACGAGTCCGGTTCTGTGATGCATTCTGTGCTGCAAGGTGGTAGCGTGCAGTTATTGTTACATGGTAGGGTACCAGTACAGATTGGAGCTGTTGCGTTGAAGGATGTACCAGCCGGACAAAGCGCATTGACGGGTTCATTGTTGTTTACACAGATGTAATACCGAGTACAGTCGTAACGATCCGCTACTAAAGTCCCGGGAACCAACCCGTCGCAACTCGGATCACAGCCACGCTGGGCGAGGACCTGGGTGACGTAGACTAGCACCGCAACCCACGCCACCTGCAGCAGACACCCGCCATGTTAATGTTCCTGCTGAAATTACTACTCATAAAACATATTAAAATATATCAAACATTACCTTAAACTGGAAATATAATTGGTACAAATCACTAAACCGTTTGAGGAGTATTCAGAGGGTTACTAAGACCACCACAATAACTTACTGACCAACTAGCAAGTATACTTTAGTCCTGGACATAGTCCAGGTCTAAAGTAAACGCTCAGTGTATATACACCGCGAAGTGGGTTACACCTCTGTGTATATATCCCTGGCATCAATATTCTCCTTCCCCCCACAATATGTAGGAACAAATCCTGCGGTATAATGAAAGAAAAATCTGAATAACAAGGGAACTATGCAGCGAGGACGAATATGGACAACCAATCACAGCCTAAGAGGTAAACGGGGCTATGAAAAAAGGTAAATTAACTGTATTTGTTGAAGACCGGGGGGGGGGGGGGGAAATGAAGGGGTGAAGGGGTCACCTATGACATTCAATATACTGTGAAGACTCGGAGAATCTATTACT